TCTAGTATCCTCTACAGTATCAGAAAGTTGCTCCTTTTAGATGTTCAGAGGATTTGTTTACATTTTTATTTTTAATTCTTTTAATTCAGTACTTATCAGTAATTTTTAAATATAGAGCTTTGCAAGGTATAAATAGACACCACCTATACAAAATATTCAGTGAGAAAGATACTGAAAAGTGTGACATAAAAAATTCAGAAATGAGACAGTGCTGCATTCTATTCTAAGTACTATTCAATATTTTTCTGGAAGTTCTGGAAGGAAAAGAAACAATAGGTTATAATACTGAAAAGTAATAAGTCACACATGTTGTAAATACCAAATAGTTTCTCTGGTGTGAAAAACTATAATAGTACACAAGATCCTAATGGTATAATTAGCAATGTGAACTAGGAAGAAAAGGGCTAAAGGTGTAGGGAAAGTGGGAAGGGTAGGGGAAAGGGAATAAGGGAAAAGAAAAAAAATATGAGAAAATGAAAAAATGGAAATAAAGTGTTTGTAAATGGGGAGGGGACGAGGGGGTGAAGGAAGGGCAGGGACAAGGGGAAAAGATGAGAACCAAGACCTGTCATGTAAAGGTACAAGATCCCAGTAAAGAATATAACTGTATTGTATACCTAGAATGTACCAGTAAACTCAATAAAAAGAAAAAAAATAATACTGAAAAGAAAATAAAGAAAAACAATTTGTAATATTTGATATAAATGTTGACATAGCAAAGCCAAATGAATTAATAAATGATTAACAAAAACAGCATTCACCTAGTTATATGGATATAAATTCAACATATAAAAAAGTTTTCTTTAACCTAATTTTTTCTAGGAAATTTTTAAAAGTTCAAAATAGATCACAAACAATAATAAAGACTGTACCATATCCTAAGAAATGGAAATCTGGTGGAGTAGACTGTCACACCTTATTGGAGTGAAACTGGAAGCCAACATCAAAAAGAAATTTAGAATACAATAATGTTTTTCTCTTTTCTCCTATTAACATTTTCATGTAAGGGAAGCTATACCACATTCAATCTTGTGTGTTTGATTTACTTTACTTAACATTACGGTCTTAAGGTGGATATACATTTTTCTACAAATGCCTCCTTTATCTTTCTTAATGATAAAGTAGTATTCCATTCTGTATAAATACCTAATTTTCTTTATCCATTCTTCTTTTGATGGGCATATATGCTCTTGTGAAGATTGAGCAATTATGAGTTGTGCTGCTGTAAACATGGGTAAACATGTATCACTATGATATGATGTTTTTAACTCTTTTGGGAAGATACCCAAAAGGGGAATAGCTGGGCCAAATGGAATTTCTATTTTTAGCTTTTGGAGAAATCTCCATATGGATTTGTATAGTGGTTGTACCTGTTTCCAGTCCCACCAACAATAAAGGAAAGTTTTTTTCTTCCCACAACCTTGCCAACATTTGACATTGGTTGATTTCTTGATGGTAGTTGTTTTTTTCTGAGATTAAATCTTAATGTTATTTTAATTTGCAGTTATTGAATAACCAGCAATGTTGAACATGTTGATGTATCTACTGGTTAGTTGTATTTCTTCATCTGAGACATCGCTATTCTTTTTAGATGCCAATTTTTGTTTGGGCCTTTAAAGTTAGGGGATCTAATTTTTTGGAGCTTGTTATACATTCTAGATGTTAGTCCTTTGTCTGAGGAGTAGCTGGCAAAATTTTTTTCCATTTCATAGGTTGTCTCTTCACTTTGTAGGTGGTAGCTTTTGCTGTGTAAAAGCTTTTAAATTTAATGAGATCCCATTTGTTGATTCTTGTATTACTGTATTTCTTATATAATTGGAGTTGTATTCAGAAAGTCTTTGCCTATGCCTCCAAGAGTTTTACTTACTTTGTTTTCCAGTAGGTTGTTTCTGTTCTATGTTGAGATATCTGATTCATTTTTATTTTAGATTAGTGCACAGTGAGAGATACGGATCTAAGTTCAACCTTTGGCATGTGGATAGCCAGTTTTACCAGCACCATTTGATAAAGAGGCTGTCTTGCCTCCATTGAAGGAATTTGGCGTCTTTGTCAAAAATCATGTAAATAAGTGTGCCTGGAGATGTTGCTGTATCAATTATTCTGTTCCATTGATCCATATTTTTCCCCAATGTCATGCTATTTTCATGATTGTAGCATCAGAGTATAAAGTTGCAGTCTGAGATTGATCTCTTCCGATTCCATATGAATTTAGGATTGCTTTCCCTCTCCAGTTCTGTAAGGAATGTTATTCATATTTTTATTGGGTTTGCCTTAAAGCTATATAGCAGTTTTGGAAGAATGGCCATTTTAACTCTACTGCCTGTCCAGGAACAAGGAATATCTTTTCATTTTCTGATATCCTCTTGAATCTCCTTTTTCAGACTACCATAGTTTTCATTGCTGAGGTCCTTACTTCACTGGTTATGTTAATTCCTATGTATTTCATTTTTCTTGATGCTATTATGAAAAGTGTTGTCTCCTTAATTTCCTTCTTGGTGAGTTTGCTATTTATGTACAGGAATACAGGTGTTTTGGAGTTAGCTGACTGTGGTCTGAAACCTCCATAGAGTGTGTGCTAAAATAAACTTTTCTTCCTTTAACTTATGGGTATTAGATATTTTCTCAGCAATGAGGAAGTAACTAGGACACTTGGGGATCAGCATTACTGAGCACTTTTTCATATACCTGTTGGCTATATGTATCTCATACTTTGAGAAATGTTTATTTAGGTCCACTTCCCATTTTTAAATAATTTTGTTTTATTTTATTTTATTGCTATTCAGTTTTGGAGTTCCTTTTATATTCTGTATTTTAACTCCATGTCAATTGTGTAGTTTGGCAATATTTTTAAAATTCTGTAGACCGTTTCTTCACTTGGCTGATTCCATTGCTGACCAAAAGCTTTTTAGCTTCTTTCTGTAACCAAATCTTTAAAATATGTTTCTTTTAGATGCTGCATTGTTGGTTCTTGTTTTATTTCCTTATCGGACAATCTCTGCCTTTTGTTCTCTTTATTCTTTTCACCTTTAAGGTTGCTGTTGATACATAGTGGTCTCCCCCTATTCTCTAGTTCTGCTATTTTGTGGTTTCCATTACCTATGTAAACCATGATCTGAAAATATTAACAGAAAATTTCAGAAATAATTCATATATTTTAAATTGCCATTTTAGATTTTAAATTTTTAGTAGTGAGATGAAATTTCATGTTGTCTTGCCTAAGACATGAGTAATTCCTTTATCCTGTGTATCCACCTTGTCTGCCCACTGTATGGCAGATGAGAGAGATGGAGACATAAACCATGACTTTTATTGCAGTATTTTGTTGTGATTGTTCTGTTAATCTCATGTGTATAATTTATAAATTATAATTTGTCATAAGTTTTGTGTATAGAAAAAAAACAGCCATATATAATTTTGTACTATTTGTGGTTCACATATCCAACAGTGGTCATATAATGTATCCCTCATGGCAAAGGGGGAGACATTACAGTTGGATTTACATGTTATTTTACTTTGTTATCTACATATGTCTTTCCTTTTTATTTCTTCTTCTTCTTCTTCCTCTTCCTCCTCCTCTTCCTCCTCCTCCTCCTCCCCCCC